TATATTTTAAATGTGCTAATTAAGCCCTTTCATTTGATACCCTACCCGGAATGTAACATATACATATAGTCTATAGCACGCGGAAAACTACGACGCTTCTAATGATACCCCATTTTGTACAGGTATGATGAGTGGTTTCGAAGTTATAATGGAACAGATGAACATCTTATATACATACATACTCACTACAAACCGGCTTTCAGGCCAAGATAGTACTTTCAATAGCACAGTTTATACAATAATAAACCTAGTATTACTGCTGTACGCGTAACAAACCCTAACAAAATAATATAATACCTACAATTGTCCATTGCTTTTCTTGTTCACATAACACAGTATTATACCCTAGTGCATTATGCATTAATTTTCGGATGCTGCAGCGTCTTTCTATTCTGTTCAAAGCCAGAACGCAGTGGTATGAAACTAATCGCGTATAGATTGTAAATACCTTTCTTGTACTAAGGTCTACTAATCTATATAAAACTAGTACGCAAATATTCGCATATACTTCCTAGTGACTTCACTTACTAGCTTGTTCCATATTATACAGTACCTACCAGAACATAAACAGTCTAATTGTGTATTGATCGGAATAAGTGCGCCGATCTCTAAGCCCTACTCAATTGCGAGCAGATTCCAATCTATCTATAGACATGCATGACTATTGTTAATGTTACAATATCAGAACAGCCAAAAACCATTTAAGTTGTAGCGATACTGAATATTCTGTTTTCTTGAATGAATAAAGAACTCATTCAATTGAAAGAAAATATCAACAAATTAACGTCATCAAATTTGAAAGTTATTTATATGTTTAATATTGCTCTTAAAAATGTTGCCACATACCAACATGCACAAAACATTATATTCAGTGATTTCAAAAAAAAATACAGTCCCATAAGATACGTGTCCATCTAACATCTGTATAAAAACGAAGAAAGACGACGAAAACCAGTATACAGGCAGGCTAGCTTTCAACCCCTAGCTTCAGAAAATAATTAACAGAAATTTCATTAACGCTTACTAATTAATATTAAGGAGGAATGTTATTATAATTCATGTTTCTAAATAAAAATTATCATTCACATATTTATAACAGCAACAGCAACCAACACAGGTATGGTGGTTGGTCAGCTCAACTATATACCAACAAAAAAGGCTTCTTGGAGTTATCAGTTATCATGTTACGAACTATACACGAGCAGTACACACATTTCGTGTATACATTGGAACGACAAATTTTAAAATAAAATTACAATATATACGCGTCCAGTTTCCTCTGCCTGCGTTTTGGCCTTGTATAGATTGGAAAGACGCGACGATGCATTAAACCTCCGAAATACACAAGACTGCAATACCGACGCATGTTTAAAAAAAACATTCGTATTCTTAAAGATGCCCAAAGGAAAGTCTTACAATTCATACCGAGCGGCGTTGTCATATGTGTTTAAGTATGTATGAATAAGAACCCATCGTTGATATGTTTTTAGATGCTGGAGCATTCCCGTCAGGCGCGAGCTATTCCCTTTGTTCTCGGTTTCACATACAATATGCAGACTTTAGGGATGGTACGGTATGGAGCGTTCGGATACACTTCGGTTACGTTAATATTTGATTCTAGCTTTTGTTTTCGATTTTGTCGTGTATAATGACTTGGGCAGCAATTTCATAAACATTAAAACAAATACCTTAGTAAATGTTTATAAAACAAAGATACAAATCTTTGACAATAATGAACTTCTATTTTAACTTTCATCCCCAATTTTAACCTCTTTTTTGCGAGAAAAGGTACACTATAAATGTTTCCAAGCTCAACTCAATATCTACACAAAACTTCATTGAAATTTGTAAAGTGGTTTAGTCGCTAAAGAGTAACAAACAAGCAAGGTACTTTTGCTTTTATAATAAAAAAAAATATATATGTATATTAATTCTATTACAAGGAACGGCATGAAAAAAAAACTTACGTAAATTTAATTAGATATAAAGTAAATTTATGTAGATCTAATAAATATAGGTCGCTGTACGCTACAATACAGGATCATTGTTCGTAATTTTCCTAACAGAGGAGTAATTTTAATTGTATTACACCAATATGATACTAATGTATGTCAATTATGCGACATCATAGCAGCTTAATAATGTGATTCTAGTAATAATCAAACTGTTTTATATTATCACACATAATTAACTGAATGCTTTGTTATAAAAATAATTAGGATAATAATATTAAGCCAGCCTCTTTATTTTGAAACTCTGGAAACTTCTGAGGACAATTGAAATAAATTGTTCTAGGGAAAGCGGTCATCGCTCGGTTTCGGTATTCTGTAACTCATTTTTAATAAATGAGAAACCCCTAGTCAGTTGCTATATGGATAATATATTTAATTAAGATAAAATCAATCGTTGAAGTTCACTTTTATGGCATGAAATAACAGTTTATTGATACAAAACCAAGTTTCAAAATGGAGTTCAGTGGAGATTGCCGATATTGACATTTCAAAATTGCGAACCATTGATAGAAAATAGGTATTACTCGTAGTTATTTTGACACATTGGAATTGCTCACAGTTTTCGATGATTAGGACTTTAGATTGTTAGTTGCAAATACGCTTGCTGAACATAACTAGGGAACGTCAATTACTTCAAAAAACTAAGCTCGTATTTTAAATTAGTAAAAACCATTTACTTGCCATAACAACAGTCAGTGACAGTGTAAATTCGACCGGTTATCCAAATGTCTACACCACGATGAAGAAACAAAAAGCAAACTGTCCTCTGCCATAGTTTTGACAGCGGGTAGGATCAATTTTTTTAAATGGAATCATCCATGCAGGTTGCAAAATCAAAGTCAGAAATTAATTTGCAAACTAAGTGTTACAATACCTATAGAAAAAGCTTAAGAACTTATAGTTGCCGTGAGGTGTAGTAATTTTGGTAGAAAATCCACCTAAGCATTTCTAAACTATTATCAATTAAATAAATTAGTTCTTCTTTTTTCTTAATTTAATTTGATACGGCAAGTACGAGTAGATAACATACTATATACCTCATGCATGTAGACTCATTTTTAGAGTACAAAGATTTCGATGATATCTACCTTTTGTCATTATGTGATACCTACCATTAACAACCATTGTAAATCCTTCTATAATGCCGTGATATAAGTACAACTTGTAATGTTGTTGACTGTTTGAATGATTGGAGTATATACAAGAAAAAGTTTAGGTACATGTATGTATATAAATCGGCAGACGACAATGGCTAGTACATTTATTTTAATTAAGATTATTATTCGTGATTATTCAGTACCTAGACAAATTTTTGTTATTGTGCTTGTTATTTTTATTCCTACAACAATTCAACATCGGATATTTTGTTAAATACGGATAAAACCTTTGGATGTGTAGGTATTGTATATTCGTTAGAACAACAGAAGGCACTATAAGGATCGCTGAGCAAGCCGGATAATGCGCTTGGGATTGGCCGCTTGCAGAAAACACCACACGCTATATTTTTCACTTACTTAAGTGATTTGTTATTGCGAATCCTTCATGATTTTTGATAAATTGCATATCCACAGAAAACACTTGGCATAGCAAAATAAGAATTATAGAGGTCACAAGTCTTTGTGACAGAATTTCTAGATAATCCATTGAATCCTGTGTTGGGTACTAGATATTGAATATTTTATGAATGATCTTTTAGAAGATACATATCAATAAGGCAATTCGAATTAAAATTTTCTCAAAATGTAATTATCGTTTTAGGTGTTATTATTCTTTACTTGTAATAGTTGTTCTATTTCAATTCACACGCTAGCTTTTTCAAATTCAATTGCTGCTTTATTTACCAAAAAATATTTGTCTAGTTATTATTATTATTATTATTATAGTTCCTAAGTGAATGGTAGCTAGGTCCTATAGTGACCTCTTCTTCTTCTTCTTCTTAAAGTGCCTCTTCAATTTGTGAAGGTTGTCTATCATAACAGCCCCTAGTTCCCGCGAGTCGAAACAGCTCGGCTGCGTTAGTTCTTCACGGCCACTCACTAATATTTCGGAGCCACAAATTCTTCCTCCTTCCAATGCTTCTCTACCCAAGAATTTTGTTCATAATTGTAAGTTGGAGAAGTTCGTATTTCCAATGTCGTAGAACACGACCCAAATAGACTTTTAGTCGTTTAAATGTGCACGTGAGTGTTCTTTTTACTAAATGCATATGTATGTATACACGGTACATATACCAAAATAGTGTTTTTTATCACGCTGTTTGTCTATTTGTTTCGGCTGTTGTTTGAAATTGCCGGACCGAAGTAGCCAGGAAGCTACTTGCCAGTGCTTATGGAATAAGGAGTAACTTAGGCTACACTCTACACGGCTCCACGACGAAATCGCGGGCACAGCTAATGCTCAATAAGAGTTTATTGATTTTCTTAATCATTTTATAAGATTGGAATGCAAATATATAGCACAAATTATCAGTTTGTTTACGATAATGAAACCGGCCATGTGCAAGTAGGACTCGCGCACCGAGGGTTCCGTACAAACCTGTAGCCATATAAGTAAAAGGTAGTAACTTTAAAATTATTGCATATATTTTTATTATATGTCGTAACAAAAAAAAAAAACGGTTTTCAAAGATTTTCTTTTATCTGTGTGTAACAACGTCTTAAACGTTGTTTCTTACCAAATTTCAAGATTCTAAGTTCACGGGAAGTACCCCGTAGGTTTTGATTTCCTTGCGAGTTTTGAAAATTTGCAGAAATTTGCGGCATAAACGACTGTATCTTTTGATTACGTTGGCTTAGAAGTTTGATTTTTTCACAGCTCCAAGGGATATTAGACCTGAGTATTTGACATAAATTTCAGCTTGGTATATCTGATCCTCAGAAAAAGGGTCTTGATATACGGACGGACCAAGGGACAACAAAGTGATCCTTTAAAGCTTTCGTGTTTTCCTTTCGAGGGACGGATCCCCGAAAGCATACAAAAAAGACTTACCTGGCACGTGCTCATCATTGAAGGTTACTCGCACAGCATGAGGTCGCGACAGTCTTGGTATGAAAGATGCTGCGTATCTAAAGCTGCCTAGCGGCCGCACAGAGCTGGCAACCAGCGCTCCATTGCCACCAGATACTTCTAACTCTAAATGTCCTGGACCAGCTCTGTTACAATCGACTGTAAAAAAGGATTTAGTTATAGTATATAGTTATACATAGTGATAAAGTTATATGATACTGACGCTTTATCGAACTAGCATTGATTTAGTACATCATCATCATCACCAGCCCTTTTACGTCCCCACTGCAGGGGCTCGGGCCTTCCTTATGGATGGTTAAGGAGGGTGGGCCATGACCCTCCACGCTGGCCCAATGCGGATTTGAGGGTATTAACGACTGCAAATGCAGCCGGGACCAACGGCTTAACGTGCCTTCCGAAGCACGGAGTAGCTCGAGATAATAATTTTTTGGTTCCCATCCCGTGACCGACCCTTGCGAAAGCTGCTTAACGACTACGATCGCAGGCCGCGGCGGTTATCCACTACGCCACCGAGCTACTTAAGTCCATGTATTACCAAATGAAATCCCTTAGAATGTTAGTTCAAAATACCTAGGAAAAACATATTATTAATCTGTGTATTGACACAAATCCATCGTGATAGGACATTTGAAACTGTTGGACATTTTGGGATTTGAAAATCCTGAAATGAAAAGGAATTTTCGACCGTTGAACTACTTTCACTTAAAAGTCAATTCATGACGCTGTGGCGTAAATCCTTAATAAATATTGGTAATTCTTATGACTTGTAGGCAAAATGAAAGCATAGCTTCAGGAGTTTGTCATCAAAACCATGATCAAATTGATGGCGTTTCTAATAAAAGTAGAAATGCCGTCAAAAGCTCGGTAGATTCTAAAAGATATTTGTGTTGGTACTTAAATGTTGTTATAATTTATTTAGCTCAGTTCAATTTTAAATTAGTGTGTGAATTAAAAGTTTCTCTTTGTGGTTCTACGTAACTGAATAAATCTGCCAGTTCAAATTTCGATACTTTATAATGGTATCATTTTTATTATTTACATAAGTAATTGGTCTCATTCTTCTAGCTTGATATAGTTCTCATTCTTCTTACGGAACTACTGGCCTGGATTAAAAAATTCGATCACCCACAGGAAGCTACATTATACGCGGGTAACAAAGACTAATTTCTGTGGTAAGCGACTCGCGGCAAAACAGCTAGTTAATACATAAATTAATATTACTTGATCATTCTTCAAATCATTTAGCTTTCAATCTTTTTAATCTGTCCCAAATCAATATCACCAAATTAGAAAATTTTTGTCAACTATACGAGTAAATATATTGTTTTATTGTTTCAACATTTGACTAGTAGCTTTTGATTGTTCACTGCATAATAAGAAAAACCATTGCCAGTCAAAGCAAATATAAAAAGGACACAAACACAGACATCTTTGTGCGATGGGAATATCACGCAGCGTTAATTGGCATATGACTAAATAACTCAAATGAGTCTCAGGTGGCTCACCTATGAACTCCACAGGTTGTCCCACCACACCCCTGTAGCTTGGTTTAACGATTACTCCTTTGGCACCTCTATTATTATCCCATTGAATTGGTCTGCAACAAAAGCAATGTTATTAATTACTTTATAAGATTTAACTGTGTAGTTTTATCTTTAGTTGTTTCTTTAGTGCGTCTTTATCTTTGTCATCTTCAAGCGAGCCTTTACCTTCCATTACATTTGTCTTTTCATACCAGTTCGTTGGTTTTATGGATTCTAACATATTGATATCTAGCGATCAAATTTGACTGTAAAAGGGTGTCTTGCCCTTTTCCGGCTTTATATCAGATTTGTCGTTTTTTTGACCTGTGTTCTATTCTATGTGCTTCTAATCTTTAAACTACTTCGCGGATGCGTAACAAAAAATGTTTTATCTCGAATGTTTTCTGGTTGATCCCGATGCATTTGTAATAATAACAATTTATTATTTATTAGATATTATTATTTGTTTTCCTAATATGATTCTAACTATTATGAAATATATTATTGCGATAATGGGATTATTCTATATGAAATATGATCTAAAATTGTGTGATTCTTGCTCCACAAAACAAGAAAGAATTTCAACCCACACTTACACCCTTGCACAAGCTTCCAGTTGATTTATTGAAAATATTAAATTGATTTGTACTGAGTGAGTCTCCAAGAGAAAATGTTTCACAATTAAGTTATAGCTATCTCCCAAGTCACTTTCATATAGTATCGGAAAAATTTCTTACTCTAAAATGTTCCCAATACTGTGCGGGTGTGAAATTTACAATGTAGTGAAAACGTCTTCTTTGTTCAACAGATTCATATTTTCAAGGAAAACCAGAGTTATTTCATTTTTGTCGTTGCATTCAATTTTGCTATACGATCAAAGAGACACTTCGTTTCGTTGTGGAGAAGAATGAGCGAGGGTTTTAAGAGTATATTGTGAACTACGGAATATGAACCGGGATATAGTAAAGTTTGTTAAATCTTTAAATTCAATACTTAGATGTTTTCTGATACAATGAAGAATCTAAGTACAGCAATATCAAAAAAGATATTGAGCTTTGTTTATGGACATAGTAAGTAGATGCTCACATTAAATGGTATACAATAGAAAGATTTGCTCAACTGAAATCAATCGATTCTAGTAACGATTAAAGTTATTATTAAATAATTATTTTTCAAGACAAGACATTATTTTTCAAAGCTCGATGACGAAATGGTATAGCGCATTGGATCTCTGATTCCAGAGGTAGAGCAACTTATTAGTTTTGCTTTCAATCTGCGCAGGCACAGATTTGGCCCTAATGCATCTGCAATCTTTAACACATACCACAAGATTAACTAGTAATTTTAACTTATTTCTGGTTTGTGGTATTATGTTTCAATATGCACACGAAGGACTACTCTGTTTCACCAAAATTAAAATTTCGTCTATTTACGAAACGCTAATATGACTCCAAAGAATGCATTTTTTAATAAATTTATTATGCAATGGAGGCAGGACCTGTCACTGCCTCTGACGTACAGATCTTCGCGGATCTTCTATTATCAGAAAATTTCATAATTTCATTCGTGAACAAACAGAGTTTGTGGTAATTTGTGACATACCTGAAGCGGGCGTGTGCTGCGTCCGTTTCAGAGTGGGCCCCCCCGGTAGGGTCGCGGGGGGGCCTATTGGATAAAAAAGACTGCTGATGCTGTTGCTGGTGCTTCTCCTCGACGCTGCTGTATGAGGAGTCGCGTACCACGTACGAGCTCTCGTGAACCTCGCGTTTGCTGAATTCTTGCTACAAAAATATTCTTCATTTACACTCAACTTCAAAGCCGATTGTCTTCAAGGTTGGTTAAGGTATATTAGCCGGAACCTTTGCATTTCGAACTTTAAGTACGAAATTATTTAAATACAAGTTGCTTTAAGCGAGGTTGAAATAGAACTACAGAAGTTTCATAAGGTACGCTATTTCTTTTTATAAGTTCTATGCAAGTAATCTTGAATTGTATCAAAGCTACTTGCTAATTTTCTGTCGGACTCTGCAGTGTTTCAAGTTTTATATTTGCCAGCTGCCTTTCTTTGTAATATGTTTTTTTTCATCCCCTGGTACAGTATATTAGCTTTGTAATTGTTGTAGACGAGAGATTGCTGGTATTATGTTTGTAATATTTCTTAGGTTATGGTAAGATATGTGAACCGATAAATGATTACTAAAAATTGCTAGTATTTGCCAGTTGTTATCAAGAAAATATTAGTTCAGTATGTGATGATTTGATTATTATGATCAAGCATTCTTGAATATATTAAATCTAGTATGCATGTCAGCATTAAGTCATAGCATAAAATCAATTGGACAATTTTGTATAAATCAATGTATTATTGACTGCCTTAAGACTTGTTACGTGAATCCCGGCACTGCAAAGACTACTAACATTTGCAGCCGTATTGAGATCCTCTTTTTAAATTTGGAACGTTATAAAATTTATTTACAAGGGAAAGATAACAAACTATCTTTTAATGTTCTTTCAAACATTTTCGAAGTTGAGTCTACGTTTATTGTACGGAATGAAATAAGTAAATGTAATTTAGTATTTTAAAAAATAGTACCTAATTATCTGGACTTTAGCTTATATTATTATTATTATGCAAAGAATTTTGAATATTTCTGCATTTTTGGTAACAACAAAAATACTGGTTAGGCACTGCTCACCCTTTCTTACGCCCATAGCAGGTCACAGCTGGTTTCATTATATTGAGGTGATAAAAACAAGTGTATTAACCTTATTATGTACATATATGAGTACCAAAAACATTGCTTTAAATTACGTTATCAGACAGTCTGCTTCAAATTCTGGTTCGACCAACTTTGGAACAATGTTCAATGGAAACCTAAACAATACATATTGTGATTTCCGAGGAACAAAACACCGGAGATAGGTATTATGTTGCGAAGTTTCTGGAACCTATTGTAATATTATAATGTGAACGAGCTGGACTCCGACTGGAAGCTTTTATGTTCTACGTCACAGAGCTTAAAGTTGTTTATATAGTTATTTGAAGCTGTTTTCAAAGTGATCGGTGAAGTTGCATCTATGTTGACGTGTATTATTAAATTCAATTAAAAAATTCAGTTGTCGGGGTCTGTTATATACAATGGTTTTTTTTTATTTAACTACTCGCTATTTTGCTGCTTTTTTTCTTGTCAAATTTTCATAGAACTATCATTTATATGAATACAAATTACAGGATTTTTAGAAAACAAATGTTGAAACAAATATGAATGTAAAAGAGATCGATTAAAAGGAAAAAATCACATTTGATGTTCTCATACAAATACGTAGACAAGGAGGAAGGATTAAGCACCCTAAACACGTTATTATATTATTAGAATTCACTTCGTTAAATCCCTCAACGTTCAATATTGATTTCATAGGTGTTGATTTCTTTGGGTATGTAACATGCTACCTTTAACATGCTATCTTTATTATTTCTCAATAACCCGTCACAAATTTAAACGTGAGGTAATATTTGACTAGGTTTGTGTAGGTTTGCAAGCACTTGTAGCAAATCAAAGGGAATTTGCCGCAAGAGCTGGCAAAACGCGTTTGTAGACGTTTGGACTTTGCGGCACGTATCTGTGGACGCAGTATTAGACAAAACGTTTCTCGCTTGTGCTATGCGTGCTGGAATCTTTATATCTAATGGTGTTCAAAATCGAATGGTAATTATCTAATAATTATGCTTATATGTATGATTATATAAAAATTAAGACAATTTTAAAAGTGTTGTAAAATGTATTAGTAATGAAATAACCACTTACCCGACTAGTATAAGTGTCCGAATCGCGGTCATCCGCTAAACGGTCAAGTTGTTTATTGAAGGTATCTCGTGACATGTCGCTGAATTTGTTCAGTTGCGTGTTCCGTCTTGTCTCACGGTCCAGTGTGCTTTGGTAGCGATCTGGAGAATCCAATCTAAACGAAAGAGTCGATTAGGTAAAAGGATTTATAGTGGGATAGCTAAGCTAACATCGAAGCGGAAATTGTGGCTGCACCTGGATAATAAAACTAAAATCGAGAGAAAAATTTATTCATTGTAATATAATAAATGAGATTTCTTATATTAAAAGTGAGGCTACTTGTTTGTCTTTATTTAAATTGACAACGGAACATCATAATAATAAGATTTTTTGTGGCGATATTTGGGACGTATTCGCTTTGATTTTGTAAGCGAATCAAACCTTTGGTATGTAATAACAAGAAGACTAATTCACAGATTCTTTAATAAAATTAAACGAAACAAACGCGATGCTTTCGATAGTATTAAATGTTCATATTCAATAGAGGTGTCATGTCATATGCAAGGTCACAGTTTGGATAAAAGTCCATTTACTGATTTCATTAAAATCAGATGTAATTATTGGTCTAATTTAGTACACTTTCGTGATAAAAATGTAATTATGAAATCGGCAATAACAATATTACTTTTTTGTGATATATTTGCTGATGATTTTGATTCTTATATATTGATCATCTATATTGACATATAAGTCAATCATTAATACAAAATATTTTTAATAAAAATGACTTAAACGATTTAAAAAATCTCACCGATTATTGCTTAGCATTTGCCTTGTTTTTTCAATGGGCTCCCATGAGTCTTTTCTAGCATGGTATGCGGTCCCGCCTGGATCGCCGACGCCTAAAAATATTAAAGATAAATAAATAAATTTATTAATGGCTACACTTGACGTACGGCAATGTGAAGAATAAGTGTTTTAAGTTTTAAATGTGCAGAATACTTTCTAATTTTGAAAATTCAAATAATTAGTACATAAATTAAGTTTCTCCTTTTCATTCATCATCATCACCACCAGCCTATTAATATCCCAACTACAACAAGCCTTCTCTATGTATGAAAACGAATCGGATAGGGAGATTGGGCCATGATCCAGTCCACGTCTTTGTGCGGATTGGTGGGTTAACGATTGCAGACATAGACGGGACCAAGGGCTTAACACGTTTATTGCCAAGCCAAAATCTTGGAATTACATGAATGGCTAATAACTAGTGAGCGTGGACAAAACGAAAACGACTATAGTGCGAAGTTGGATTACCGATAACAGTATAATAAGACGATTCACGAGACGTCACGTGATTCGGCAATAAACTTGTTAACATCCCTTCTGAAACTCGGAGAAGCTTGAGATAATCTCAACTCAAAATTTGTGATGACGTATAAAAACTTACCTGGACTCCCAAGTCTTTTGGTACGGTCGTTCTCTAGTGATCCATAAGGGCTATTTTGATCCAGGTTATCCTGAGAGCCGCTGTAGGAGCTGTACATCTTGTAGTTGGATCGCTTTTCTACAACACGTTTAGTAGTCGTCACTGGGCTATGTCGTTCCGTTGGGCTGCTTACTCTAGGGGAATACACCACAGAATTAGTATTATCATTATACTAATACGTAAAGCAATAATTAGACTTTAAATACGATAAAAGAAGATTCTACGTTCAACGGGTATGATTTGTATATCGATTTTCGATATTACCTTTTTATTTGAAATCTTATGGGTCGGATATGGTCCCATACGAGTGAGACACGGCAGTGGCTGTTGAGAGCCACATAAGTCTTTAAATATATTCTTTTTTTTAGTACTATTAAGCTAGAGATGGATATCAGATGACAAGAGAAAGCAACATAAAATGGACGCAAATAATAACAGAATGGCAACAGAGGGACGGCAAAAGAAAAAGAGGTGGGCAGGTTTATTTATTTATAAATCGTATTAAAATATCTAGAAAGTGCTACCTCGTTACTTTACTTTATAGTTATAATAGAAAGCTTCAACCAAAACTCTCAAACATTTTCATTCTAAAATTATGCAAGCTGTTGTGAAACACATCCAAATCCTATGTATTATTGCAAAGATAATTCGCACCAAAGTCTTATTTGAGACTATAGACCAACATTGGCTCGTTTTCATTGGTTTGTCATCGTTTTATTAACCAATGAGATGAGCCTGCAGAGGCCTCCAGGGTTCCGCGTCCTGATCCCATCGATCAATGTAACTCACTGAGTTATATATTATAATTGTTTACTTTTATATTAACTCTGTCTTCATCACTCCTGTGTAACGTTTACATTTCGCTAGTCTATTGAAAAAGAAAAATTATTAAGTCTAATAATTTCCTATTGATGGCATAAAAAGACCCACCCCTATTTTACGGTGAAACTCGTTGCGAGTCTCTCAATGAAATCTTTTCAATTCAATCAACAGATAAAGTATCCTTATACAAATCAAATAAAAAATGCTGCTATATTTTAAAAAGAAATAAGTGCTTTAACTAAAAGATGGCTGAATGAACCAGACACAAAGTAAAAAAAGCAGCTGTTCCGAATGAAAAAGCACTTGATTTATAAGTACACAGCGGGCGAGAACTGATTGAAAATTGATTTACAACCCTTCACGAGAGCTATTTTAGCATGGAGCTTAAATTCAGACTTTTGATAATAAATTATTGCTTTTGCTTAATTTCTGTAAACAACATTTCAATCAAAAGGATGCCAAATTTTATGAAATAAATAAGAGATGAGAAATAAAGGGCTAGAGACAGCATTTTTTGACGCTACAGTCTTCTTTTCACAAATTGCACTAGAATAGTATATTGTTGCATTATCTCTGCCAGTGGAAGCGTGTCGCCTAACTGAGCCTACCGAGTCGATCCAAACCAACCCAAGCCAACTGAGCCTAGCTGAGTTCACGTCAGTCAAACCGAACGCTTTCCTCAATATCATTGTATTAAATAAACGTGTTTGCCTTTAATTTTATTCCATTTTATTTTATTCTACTTCGTTAATGAATGGGTGCTGTAAGTTTAAATATTTTAGAACATTATTGATTTTTTCTACAACAACACTTCATCCTATTTTAATTTGTGTACAACTTTTGATTTGATATCGTAACATTGCCCACATATACCGACTAAAGAACTTAGGTTGAGTACCTAATTGTAAAAATTAACCACTTAGTCCACTTGTTTGGTGATAGCTGAGAAATAATGTAGAAGCATCACTATGTCTGTGATTAATAGTTTTGTAGATACGGTGCTACGTTTGGTGAACTGGCTGCTAGTCGGCCGAAAACGCTTCCTACAAATTCTAGTCACTAAGTGACGTCACGTGGTGCTTTGGTAGTGAAAAACGTAGTGGCTTCTGGGCAATCTTTGGAATATGTTACGTTTTATGTAACTTATTTAATAACAAATTTTAGCAAATTTTTATAAAATATTTTCTTTACTTCCTTTTCAAGGTTTCAAATGTAACATTTTCTAAATTAATGTCATAAAATTTATTTTGTTAAATATTTATAATTTAAAATGGTTTATATTTTACAAACATATAATAGAACTCTGTATTTTCATTATATCATACATGTAATAATGTAATTTGAAAATATAATGTGCAAATATTTAAAAATACTTACTATTTAAAAATAATAATTTAAAAACGAGAAAACATGATATTTCTAAGTCTTGTCACAGCCAAAAACTGAATATATAAAATTTTCTCGATAGAAAAAAATATAAAGATGAATTAACTTCTAAATCTTATATATTCTCAATTTTTCCAATGCTTGTTATAATTTATTCATAAGGAAAATTCATATAACTTTATAACCCATGGATTCATGCAATATTTTTACAATTATCGTAATAATTTGCAAATAATTTTTTACAAACAATATCGGACCACAAGTCGCCATCCTCTGTCTCTGTTCTCACCTATTTCTATCTCACTGCCTTTAGTCTTTTGGCTTCACGTCTCATTTTAAAAATTGACAGTTCTTACCTGTTAATTGGACTAGCAGTCCTATTCAATGGACTGTCCTTTCTTGTTAACGGGCTAGCTGTGCGTGTCACTGGGCTCGTAGCTCGATATGGGCTACTAGCTCTGTATGGACTAGATCCACTGACATCCAAGTGGGATCCATTCCCAAAATGCTTTGTCGTTATAGGACTAGCTGTCCTATTCCTAGGACTCTCCGAACCATATCTGTAGCTTTCCTTTTTGTGAACTTTGGACGTGGAATAGGCGGAGTCGGTGACGTCATAATTCTTCTCTTTGATGTCTGAAAAGGTTTTGTAATAATCGTTCGAGTCACGTCTATCCACAGAGCTTGTGTTTCTCGTTGTGTTCGATTCGTAAACATTGAAGTTGTTTAACGGGCTCTCTGATCTCAAACGTGTGACTGGAAAAAGATAGATTGGATTATCTCGTATGTGATATGAAATTTTGTTCACGTACTTCTGGAATGGATTCACACTTTATCACGTCAGTGGTGAAAGACTTTTATCTATTTGAGGTATGTACCTGGACTTGATATTCTAGCATACGATGGGCTGGAACTCTCCCGGGATTTTTTCGAACGACCTCCCACTCTGAACAGATGTGGGGAACCGTTAACATCGTAGCCATTGAAGTAGATATATAACTGTAAATAAAATGGAAAAATTAAAAAAGAAGATTAATAATAACGCCATTTATAGCCGGGTTATACAAGATCCAAACAATTTTTTAAATTTAACTTAAATACATTTGAAAGGGACTAATTACTTAAAAACATTTGAAAGATCAAACAGGCTAAAGGGTGAACGCAACGTGTAATACTATTAAAATATTAAAACTTCAATAACTTGCTTATTTTATAAAATATGTATTTATAAAGGATGCAGGTAGATTAGTAACACATGTTTATGCCGGTAGTTCTGCGCAGTGTTATGTAGTGGTGTGTTTGGTATATGTATATTTACAGCCTTACTTCTAAAAATTCATTAAACTGGTTATTCAATCGTTATACCAAGAATAGTTATACTCGGTATATGCTCATAAAAACGGAAAAATATCTTTTGACTTATAAACTTGGTATATTATCGGCGTAAGTATTCCACCCTTATGTTCGATGCACGTAGCGGCAACGCCGCATTTCATAGACAAAATCAAGTATTTTGTCTGTGATTCGGTTGAAGTGTCAAATATCACTGAGTTTGACGTTACACGTGGTTATTCCTTGAACTTCACTTGACATTGGCAGAATTGTGCGAAATGCGCAGATAAGCCATTAATAAAAGAAGAAGAAGACGCGGGTGATTTTGTGGAAGTTATTGTAAATTATTAAGTCAAATATAAACTAATATCAAAATGGCAAGTAAAAGTAGTATCTCAGCGTCATCAGTATCTGCAATATAGCTCACTGCCAAATAAACGTTCTTACAATAAGAGGCAGTCTTTGGGAAAACGATATTTTATACGAAATTCGTCGTCATTGTACAAAAGGAAGGGATCATTTCTAGTTCTAAATATTTTAGATTTTCTTCTCGTCCTAAACATTTGCGATCGATTGATCAAATTATTAATTTCTTCCACTTCTTGTATTGTCTAAACGCCATATTTCAATAAACACACGTTTCAATATTATTAAAAATTATCTAATACGGTAAATATTTAGTAAATATAAATAAAGCATCAACAATATCAAAATGTCATTTGACAAATGCGTTGCTACACCAGAGTTATACTAGGGTGACGGTCGGAATATCGGTAAAATAAGTTTTGTTAGAACGTTACATCCAGGTTATGCTAAGCATAAGTTACACCAAGTTTATAAGTTGACATTTTGCGTATTCTGAACTAATTCTCGGTATAACATTTTATACCACGTTTATAAGTAGCGCTGTTAAAGTTTTTGAATAATTTATGAGCAATTGTAAAATAATATGTTGTAATAGATATGTAATAGACATAGAAGAGTAATGTTTCTTGATACATATATTTATTATCTAAAAAGAGATATTAATAAAAGTTTTGTTAAAACAACATTTTATGTGTTATATCATATCATTATTATATAATATTACTTACCCTATGTTTACCAGGTGCCTTAGGCATGAACGTAGCGCGATATTTAGTAGCGGAGAGTTTCTCCAAAGCGCACATCACACTGCGCTTATCATGGACAATATCCAGCTGCAAGTCTCCCTTCACCCCGCAACCAGACGTATCCAGTTCGAATGAGTGAGGTTTCAGGGGTTCAGCACCATCTAAGGCACCAGAACTGAGTCTGACGCCGGCTGGGTCGAAAACCTCGCAAGTGAATGGGCCTCCCTAAGAGTTAATATTATTTTGGTTGATATTTAAATAAATTTGAATAGAAAACTATTTGAAATATAAGATAAGTTCAAAATTCTATTGTTCAATCTCTTAGCCAAAGCCATAAGTATTTAAATATCATTATTTTCTTTGTATTATCCAGGTAAAATGTGAATGCAACAGTTATATTAATTATTTGGCGCTTTCAAATACATTGATCATTTTGGTCAAAGCCAGAGCCAATATCTTGGATATCGATTCGATGAAATCTAGTACTATTTTTTATTTTTTATTCAATAAATACTGGATTGAAAATAGTTTGCTGAAATTCGGCATCAATTGGATACCTGATGTGATTATCTTAGTACCTGAATGTGTTCGCCCTTGTAAGTAATAGCAATTGTCCATGTGCCAGCTTCATCAGGCTGGAACGTTGCACTAGAGGCGGTGGTACCAGGAGCTGACGGTGGGGGGTGCCTAGCCTGCAGTGGAACTGCACGGCCACTTGGAGAGTGAGCCGTCACATCAATATCCTCTCTTCTTGGAGCTCCTGAATTAGATTACATTTTTTAATAGATGAATTCAAGGATAAAGACGAGGTTTCCTTATTATTATCTTTAATTCGCGTAAATTACCCGTGGCACTGACAAGTACTTCTACAATACTGCCGGCAGCACAAGGAGCCATACCCGGTGGTGGTACTGTCACTAATCTAGGTAATACCCTGAAGAAGTATCTTCCATCAACTCTGTAAAAAATATAGATATTTTGTATATCTAATTACACTGATTGACAAAAATTACCTTAATGAAAGTTAAATTAATTTGAATGCGATATTTTGTATCTACAATTAGCCTGTTAATAATCTGCATTTTTAAAAAGCTTCAGTCACCCTCAGTTTTCTTGCAACTGCAATACACTTTTTTTTAAGTAAATATGGTTGAAAATTGAATTTAATCAAGTAAAACAACTAACATTTGACTTTTATTCAGGATTTTCGGGAATATTTAGCGTCAGGTACATCTCTTTTGAGTGTCCAACAGTAATCAGCCAACATGTTCGGACTCCACTTGCCTTGGTACCGTTTTTCCATGTTGGATATATCCTGATGGAATCGCTCGCCATGTTCATCACTAACGGCTCCCAAATTTTGAGGAAAAAAATCCAAATGAGAGTCTAAGAAGTGTATCTTGAGCGACATACTGCATCCCATATTCTTGTAAGCTGATAAGAGGTTGTTGACCAACTCTTCATAGTTTCGGCCTTGTGGTTTCCAAGAAAATTACAAACAATATTTCGAAAACATGTCCATGCATATTGTTTACTGGAGGCTGAGGAACAGGCAGATCATCACTGTCACGGTGTGTCTAGATTTGTGATTAATACCTTTGATAGAAGTTTGGCAGAAATAACAATCTGATACATGGTCTTTCTGTTCAGACCATATCATTGGAACTGCAAACGGCATATGACGAGATCCTTTAGCCCATGATGTTAATAAACTAACACATTGTGCACAACAAACACTAGGAGTCCAGGTTTTGTCCAAATTTCGCACCGGAAAGCCAAAATAATTAAAATAACAGTTTTTAACTAATGGTGTCAAATTACGACGTTGACTTTTAATAGTAAGTTGACCGCAAATGTAACAAAAGTTATCAGGATGGTTTACACACACTCTGGGCATCTTATAACGATGTACAGAAACGACAATCACAAAAAAAAACCGTTTTAATTTCAATAATTCAATATTAATTTATCGGAAACATACGTCGGTAAGCAAAATTCGCGTAATTAATTTAGTTTATGTTTAACGAAAACTGAGGGTGATTGAACAAAACTAAGTATGAGGTTTATATAGTAGTGTTTAAAAAACCGTAAGTAGTGTTTAAAAAACCGACTCGATTTTGTTTAACAAAAACACTGTTTACCAGTGTTATCATTAGCTCGATGGTACAACGGTTAGTGCGCTAAAATGAGTAAATAATATAACTAAAAAATAGAAACACAATTTGCACTGCTCTGTGTTGTCAAGCTGATTTCAGTTAAGTATTAGCTGACCGTGTTAGATTTAAGGTTTTCCAGTAAATATATTTCAGACGTTTTTGTTTCAAAAGCTTAAATAACTTCTAGAAATGAAGCAACTCTAGATTTTTACCTGATATCGTCTACGGTGAGTACTATCTCGTGCATACCAGCGTGTTCAGGAATGAATTCACCTGCACCGCGTGCGTCAAGTTTTAACCTTGACTCTTGTTCTAGAGGATTCACTATAGAAACTTTCACATCAGAGATTGAAAGCTCGTTGGATAACGATTCCACTTTAATATATGTCTGCAAAGAAATAACAAGGAACGTTCATTTTAGACAACTTTTTTATCAAATACACATTTTAAAATATGCTGAAGATCTTAATGTTTGTGATTAATTAATAGAAACATTATCAGTATATTCTTGTGATGTGAGATATTAATATAAAAAAAAATTAATTATTATAAATAGTAACTTGCTCTTCATAAAATCTTAGTATTTTACTGGCAGTATTTACCTCTTCTCCAACTCTTCCAGAGGTAGAGTCCAATGCTACACGTAGCATGTCATGAACTGGAGGTCTTGGAGGTACGTTTCGGAACTGAGAAGCCCACGCCATCACTCCTAAATGCTCCACATCATTCTGACTCATATCTTTGGCTGATAGCACCGGTTGAACACCTATATTGACAATGAGAGAAATGATTGTAATACTGGCTATATTCAGGTGTATTAATACCGGACGAAATAAATTGTGTTGAATTTTGATTGGTTGGTGGTCTTTAGCATTTATAAGCAAGGAAATAGAAATAGAATAGCAACCTTACGAATATTATTTAACTATTTAAAAACTTTATTGCAAGAACAGCAAAAGTCGGACTTAATGCCATTCTCTACCAGTCTACCAGACAGGACATAGGAGCAAAAAAAAAATGTATGGCGATTAACGAATGCGAAAAACGTAGCATCGCAGAAACAGTCAGCCCGTGACCACGGCCGGTGTAACCTGGTCGAAACGTCGGGAAATATAGTTAAGTGAAAAACCTAACTATCGAAATCTATCGCGTTAATACCCGTCTTATAAAATCTAATATAATGCAACATGAAAGTTTAAAAGTTTATAATTATCACGCCACAAAGATACTTTTAATGTTTGACCAAAACAAACCTTCACATGAAATTGATGTAAGCGATTTTCGCATTGTAAACGTACGAATTCTGATAAATTACATCTTGGTAGATTTTTTTGCGAAGAATATAACATATTTACCTATTTTCTTGGCAGCATCTATAGCTTGCTGATTGTTTTCTTCCCAGCGTGCCGGGTCTCGCCTTAGTCTACTGGGAGGAGGTGCAGGGCCGCCCATTGATCTTACCAGCTCATTCGCAACACGGCCGTCATTCCAGTCGGTCTGTGTAACAATATAAAGATAACTAAAATAATGAAATCGCAAAAATATACGACAAACCTAGTTATTATTAGACCCTACTGCTTCATAGGACGTAATGCCCTTGGCATTCTAGTCATCATCTTGTTTCCTACTCCATTTTTGTTTTATTGTTTTCTGATTTCCGAAAGTTATCAAATAATATTAGACAACATCACATACATTGTTCAGATCCCAAATTAAGCAGCTAAAGCACTTAGATTATGGAAATCTGAAAAAGCGATAGTACCACAACAGCCAGGCTCGAAACAATCTAATGAGTTTTTACTTAACATATTTTAGCTTTTTAATTGCTAACGGTCTCTAATTATTCCAATCATCTAATCTATTCTTCTTTTACCCATTAGTACATGACAATATTGACAGACCGTGAAATTTGTGATGCCCCTCTCCAATCGCGAGTTGACCCATTCTAGTGTAGCTCTGTATCCAGGTGAGCCCGGTTTCATGAAGTACGACAAATAGGTCATGCCAGACAACTCGTCCAACCAAGGCGACGCAAGATACTCCGGCTCCAGCACCATAGGCACATTCAACTCGCGATGAGCTAGTTTCATAGCTCGTCGACAGTTTTCGACAGCTTCATGACGATCTGTAAGAAAATAAATTCAGTTGAGGTTTTGAATTAAGTTCTAGGTACTTCCATAGGGAATGGTAATGATCCAGGCACGTTAATACCATGTTGATGATGAAAGACAATTTGACTCAATGAATGACTAATGAATTCATTGGGCTAGCGTTGGACTTTACATCACTAGGTAGACGAATGATGGACTAAATTAAATTGATACTAGTATTAAAATTAATAAGGTATACGAGGAGTAACTTTCTATATAGCGCTAAAAATACATAATCAAATATACAGTACTAACTATTTTTTTTCCATATTTTTCTGTTCTATCATCTACGCTATATCCTTTCTTTAAAAGTGAAACTGATGAAATGATATTAGTGTATAGGTATTATACACAGTAAGACTAATTGCAGATTTCCATAATAAATCCTAATGAGAATCTTTATTTCTTGTAAAAAAATATTTAAAAAGCAAACGTATCTAAACTTGTGACTTTCCATAGCCAGTTTCGGCCTTTCTTTATAAATAACTCTCAACAGTTCCATTAAAAACATATTGAAGTTAGGATATATTGTATACATTATGGAAAGTATAATACGAGTTATCAAAAAAGAAATGACACAAAATTATTACTTTATGATTTAAATCCATACAAACTGAACTTATAATAACGAATTCCTATGAATAAAATTACTCTTATGATCATGCTCAGCTAATCAACAGTTACTGTTAAGCATAGGTCCCCCAACGAATAATGAACTACAAAGGTATATCTTATTTGAAACAAGCACAGCGAAACCAGTAAACAGAAAGAATTAAAAAATATTGCAATAATATTAAATTACACCCGACAACAATGGAACATAAATCCTGTGGTGTATAATAAATAAAATTATGGTGTAGTCAAGGCTTTATAATATATAGTGCTATTGCACTATTGGATGCGTATGTTTAAAGTATTTATGTGATTGAACTAGCGTTTCGCTATCGGCTTCGTCCATATATATTATCCATAGACCAATTTATATTGTAACAAACATAGTTCCTAACAATCTTTCGCATTTGAAATATTAGTTGTAGTTTTAGTGAGATATTGGGTCATACTTTTATTGTTACTTGAACAGAAGTAAGGCGACACTTATGACATCATAGCCTAGCAAATCGTCAGTGTCCTGCATGGCAGCGATAAAGATAGAAACTTTTGCATTCCAACTCCATCACAAGACTTTAAAAGTAAATAAAAACTGAATTCAATTTCTATTCTTTAAGTTAGTTTTGTATATCTGTTGTATCTTTCGAAACTTCTAATATTTAAATGATTTTTTTCAAAATGCTTAGCATTTTGGACGCATCAAATTAAAAATTAATAAATACTGAAGATAAAGATTTCTTTCTATTATAATTATTATTAGAGACTGATAATGAGTTGTTTTTATGATTAGTTTGATTAATATGATAAAGATATTTTTTATACAACAGCATTGACGTGTTACTCTAACAAGGTTCATGTCGTGAATGCGTGACCAATTTGTGTATTTTTACTGACTATAAAACGTGACAATGAGCATTTACAACTACACTTACGCTTACAATTAATTTACACTACACTTTTACCTGTCAATTCATTTGCATTGATTTCGGTATTGTTATTTGGCGCACACATAAGTAAACATAAGATTATTAACGTATAAACAAACGAATAATGAAAAGTAACGTCATACTCTTGAAACTATTTTGAAGAGTAAATAGGCAGAAAAAATTGTCCTTGTTAAGTTTCTTAACTTCATTAATTCTTCTCAGTGCAACGTCCGCCGCCGTAGATTTACGAATATGTATAGGTTTTTATTTTTAGAAGTACTTTAGAACAGTTTAAGCTGAATAATTATATCAATTTGATATTAAAAGTGAGTAGAATTGTGTCCAAAATAGTGTGGTGTCCAAAAGTTTGACATGTGGTGTCCACCAGTCATGTGATGTCCGACATAGGGAGAATCCAGCTTTTCAACTAGAATTTGTGCATCATATTTAAATCAAATCGGTAGAGATTTTTATCACGTGAACATAATATTAGTTTTTAACATATAAATATTCACTTGTGTCATATTAAAATGAGTAGGACTGTGACGGTGTGCCGCACTACCGTTTATTTTGTCCTAGGTTTCCCGCATGCAAACTTTTTGTCTTTGATAATCAACGTCATTTCTTTTTATTATTCACCAATCGTAATTTGAAATTCATCTGGTGTGAACATGATAATGAAATTATATAAATTTAAATAAAAATTGAGTTATTATAATTTAAATAAGAAAATAGTTAATCTAAAAATATATCTTTATGAAATATAGTCCAAGTTTATATATTACAGGAAACCCAAAAAAATGGGTATGTATTTGTTCTATTTAACAATTATAATTATATATTTAGGTAATCGTACTAACTGTTTTTATATTCATTTTTTGTTTGTTACAGTTTTTCTTTACACTTTTCTTTATTACTGTATAATAAAATCAAGTTCTCAAGCTTAGTCAGCCTTTCATTCGTTAATCATCGAAACCGTCACAGTTCGAGCATGAAAACGTTTCAACTGCTACAGCACTTGAGGTTGAGTAAGTAGATGCTAAGTCTAGTGGTGTTAGCTAGTAAACATACTTAGTTCACGCCAATGAGGAAATACACCAGGTTTGCAATGGTCCAGTAGAGCAGACAGCAAAACTCCACTGTTCCAATCGCTGGTCAAATTGGACACTTTACATTCTGGCAAAGCTGACTGCAGCCACGACAGCATCAGCTTTCTGCAAGGAAAGAGGTTTATTATATTTTTATATCATATCTGCAATTTCTGATAGGAATATTTCAATATCAGTCGGCATTGAAGATTTGAATACCACAGTGGCGACATCTATCTCATCGCGCTAACATCGCCAAAGTAACTAATGGTAAGACTGAAGCTTCAACTAGCAATTAAGTCATGAGATGACGCCGCGATACCTGCATCACGCTAACTAAGATTTACCGCGACTTAAGATATATACAACTTCCAACTTACCTTTATCGAAGTCTCCGAGTTACAAACACGCGGCTCGAAGCGAGACAAATTTCTTTAGTCTCCCCGACCAGATGCTATACTACCAAGTATACCATAGGTAACCTTTCATTATAAAATACACAGTTTCTGATTTGAACCAATGGAAAAACTGGTATTTGAAATGCGAATTTATCTTCTAAATTTTTTTCGTTATATGTTTAATAGGTTTTATATTTTGGATAGTAATTACAAGAGCTACGTTTGCGATTAAAATAAGTAAATTTAAAAATACTAATGTACGCATGGACGCACGTCACCCTACACACCACCACTGTAAGCATACCTCCGCCATTAAGAAATTTCTATACCACACAAAGTCCACAATGTATAGTCCTACGTGCAGCCGTGTGTACTTTGTAGTTGCGATTACTGCAAAAGTTATGCAATAAGTACTATTTGCATGCTATTGTTAATGACTGATTAGGCGTTAATTGTATTACTTTTTTACATCTCTTTTGTATACCCTATTCAAACGCAAATAAATTATTATAATTATTATTGACGATGTTTCTAAAAGACAAATATCAGTTACCTCGGAGGGAATTTGCTTCGACCGATCTGATAGCGGACGATAAGGGACCAAATCAGACCCAGGATCAATTTCAAGTTCCCGTTGACAATATCAGTATTCCCTGAAAAAACATTGTGTACATGAAGGTTTTTTAAAAAAACAGAGGCTGCAATGATAGTTAAATTATAACTTAGCATTGATTTGTTCATGTACAGTAAAAATTACAGCGTCGAACAAAGCGCTAATGAAGCATTAGAGGTACAAAAGAATAAAATTTTTATTACATTGTGAAGTCGATTTTAGGAAATGTTTTTACAGTTTCAGTTTTGATATTAATATAAGAAGTTGAATTTTATGACATTAATTGGTACTATACCACAAAATAACCATCATCATCATATCAACCGACAGACGCCCACTGCTGGGCATAGGCCTCCCCCAATGATCTCCAACGTGATCGGTCCTGCGCCTCCCGCATCCAGCGGCTTCCCGCGACCTTCACCAGATCGTCGGTCCACCTTGTGGGGGGCCTACCAATACTGCGTCTCCCGGTACGTGGTCGCTTTCCAAGACCTTACCGCCCCAACGGCCGTCAGTCCTGCGATCGATGCGCCCTGCCCACTGCCACTTGAGGTTCGCAATTCTTTGGGCTATGTCGGTGACTTTCGTTCTTCTGCGGATCTCATCATTTCGGATTCCATCTCGCAAAGAAACCCCCAGCATAGCCCTTTCCATTGCCCTCTGAGCGACCTTGAGCTGCCTTATGAGGCCCACCGTATACCAATAATAAATATATACATATATATATACTTCTCTCTCTTTTATAAACATCATTCGTGAATTGAAATCGGAATCTCGGAGCTAAAATGTACTATTACAATAATCGTTTCAAACACTTTCAATAGTATTAACATATCGCTCAGCCCCTATGAAATTACTCGATAAGTCTTTTCGATTTTCGATTGCAATTAGAATGACTTTGAAAGCCAAGTTAAAATCATCTTTTTCTCAATTTACTTTCTAAGCTGGTAATTTTTGAGCATACTAATCGTTGTAGGTTCGTTGAAGAGAATCTTAAACATCTTTACCAATATTGACCAATTTAACGCCATCATCTTCGATGGCTTGCAATGCGGTGGTGACATTCTCTAACTTGTGGTGCTGATTGTTAGGGTTCGGACTCCAGCCTTTAAGCCTGCGGCCCTGTAACGCCTCTACCAGGGAGCACAGTACTGTACCATCACGAAGGTCTTCCACAAGGTCAACTACCTGAAAAAGATATGATTTGGATTGGATTCAAATAATACCTTTTTTTAAGTTGTTCAAAATTCATTAGCATATCTATTATGGGTTAATAAAGCTCCGTTCTCACCGGCTAAACTCAACCGAGCGAACACACCGAGTAAAAACTATGGTAGGAGCTTTTGAACACATTCAGAAATCATCTATCAAACAGCATCCACGAAACCGTTCGAGATTAATCATAAATGTGATTAAATATATGGTTAACTGACTCGACTCGCGGGCATGTGTATATTCCATCAAGTCAAGTTCGACAGCTGATTTTAAGTAGGTTCTTGTTATGAAAAAGTTTGTTATAAAATTAAGTTTTATCTTATTATACCTTCTTAATAACTCAGATTATTAAACTGCTTTAAACTTCTCAAGCGCATAAAAGAATGTTGATTGGTCTACTTATATAGTTGACATTTAGCTAAAGATGCTAAAAGCATTTTCTCATTTTAAGCGGACGTGCTTTATGCAATTTCGTGTAATTAGAATTTATATACATTAAGTACATTATATGGTCGCGCATTATGAGCAATCTTAAGATATTAAACTGCAAATTATGTTTTTTGCTGGGTATTTAATCTTTCTTTTTTTACTGTAAAATAAACATAGTCCTACGGAGATCAGTATCACCAAACTCCGTGAAGAGTTTGAACTCGTGGATTGTACACCAAATAATTTAGTTTACCACGAAGTGTTTACACATACCTTAATATTCATTGGCTTTAATGTTTCATTAACCCAGTTCCTGAAAGTGTTTGCTTGAATTTCCACCCATAAGTCTTCATGGCCTTTTATAGCCATGCCTTTGGCTGCGGTACCCTCGGTGCTTCTAGCAGCCAATCCAGCTTGTGTAATCCGTCCTGCGGAACCTTCGGCTGAATGGGCACGCACCCCTTGGTGCGTCACTCTGGATCCTTCCATCACGTCACTTTCAACTGTCACTGGAACTCTAGTTTCACTGGCTGACTTGCCACAGCTTCTTTGGTGTGTAGGAATGACATCTGAAAAGAGAGAGAGAAGTAATTAGTTTGAACTCAAATTTATACTTTCTACGCATTATTACAGATGTTGGAAATGGAAAAAAAGTGGATATTAATAATTTCTAAAACTTCAAGTACGTACCTACTCAAAATTAAATATGATCTTTCGAATTTTAATTACCTATCAAGTCACCCGCAAAGTGCAAGCTCACACGTCGTAAGTTGCCGTTAATTTCGACAGCATACAACTTGCACTTTTGAGTTTCTGTACGTATCTGTTATTTTTTTGTAAGTTTACACTGTTCATATAACACGCATTTTTAATATATAGCTGATTTATTTATTTATCCCTGGCTAATGGTAATCTGCCTGCCTGGTAATCTATGACTAGTTCCAAATTTGGGAGTCTTTTCTGCGAAGAACTGGCGAAACAAATTCCGACAATATAAGTGAATTACCCCCTTTGATTTAATATTAAAATAACTGTATATTTGGTTTTGTAATGTGTGCTCTGGATTGATATTTTGTTTGACTTATTATTAGATTCCTAGCCGGTGGTATATGCCAATCTTCATCTCTACTTAAATTCACATGTAGGGATGAATTTTTGATGAGCCGAAGTATTTTTGGATTGTTAAATCTTATGTAATACTTGGATCCTCGTTCACACACTGCAGATTTTGCCTAGCGACTTTGCCTTGTTATCACGAACCAAAATTGTAAAATAATCTTTTCCTATGTGTTATTGATGAAAATCAATCAGATGAATTGGAAATAACATACGTTTCCAAAATTAAAATCAAAATAACCTTTGTTAAATAATCTAATTAAAAGTATTTTTAAATGGTAGACCACCAGTTAAAGCGTAACTTTGGAGTTTCTTAATTTTGTATTTATACTTTATTAAGTTGAACGTCCAATGTGTTCATACTCATAGTACGCAAAGGATTGCACTGGATCCTGATTTTTAATTTAATTTTAAAGATTTAATAGAAAACTTATAAATTTTGACATACTAAGGGGCCAATGGAGTAACTCTGATAACTGTGACATTGAAAATAGTAACTATTTTATCTAATGTAATTGTTAATTTATTCCCCTTTTTTATTTATATGTAGTTTTGTTTTATTAATGTGTGATAAATTTTAATTAAGTTGGTAATTAAAGTTAATTGTTAATTTATTCTATTTTTGTGGTGAGTTATAATTGTAATTGACATATGTCGTTTTATAATAATAAATAAAATAGAAAAAAATAACTATTTATTATATAGTATGTAGTATGCAAATAATTCGCATGACGATATCGGCACGCATCTCATTCTTTTTGCTTAGATAATGCGTGCGTTCGGTGGAGCATGAATAGTGGACTTAGTGGTAAGCAAATCGAAAATCCATTGCGTACCTTGCGTTGCGTGCGTGTGAACGAACCCCTTAAATCTATTTGTATCTATACCACGGTCGAATTTCGTACGTTGACCTTTACGTCTACTGATAGATAACGTATACATTTTACTTTACTATGACAAAATTAGCTAGATGCGTCTGTGCGAATAATATATGTATATGCGCACGAGTCATAGTACGAAACTCTTACTGTTCGGCGACCGTGTATTCTATAACAGATGAGGGTATTTATTTCTTTTACCGTATATTAGACTAATAGACTCTGTTGGCAATGGAAACTTTTAAGCGGATCGATGAGGTATTGTCAGTTGTCGTTGATTGATGAGTCTTTTAGTTCCAAGCGGAGTGCACATAAAATGGCAGAATAGAGGTGCAAAAAGGACCGAAGTTTATATCGAAACATACTTACGACAATGATTTAAGGAACAATTTACGAAAATTAATAATAAAGAGGAAAGATTTTACTGTTTATTTGATTACATCTAATATGTTTATTTATTTAATAGCTACATAAAACAACCCCAGGCCAATACAAATGTATACAACTAGTTAAAATATTATTACAACAATAGTTTAACCATTAAAATAAACAATACAGAAGTTGTGAAATCAGCTCAACAACAGAAACGAGAGGAATCGAGTTTAATGTTGAGAAACTACTTGTCAAATTTAAAAATCGGGAAGTTACTGGACATATTTTGAAAAGCTCTTACGCATCATGCGCGTACTCGCGCGAAATCGCGGTAAAACTGCTAGTATTATATATACCGTGGTTGGCACATTTTATTGAAAAAAAAAAACAGTCAATAGGCTCTAAATATTTTCATTATCGTAAAAATGTTAAATATAACTTTCGCTTATGAAATAACTCTTATATTCATCAACTTTCCCCCATGAAAATAGAGTATAATAATTATGAGATGAAGTTGAAAAATATGAATTTTTGTCTGTAAAAACCTGCTATTTTTAAAAGCTATTGCTATCGCTATTTGAAAGCTATTGCTTCGTACAAAACAAAATGGTAGATAGTAATTTTACTTTTTAAAACACTTGGGTAGAAGAAATTTAGTATTTGTAATATTTATTGAATAGAACAGCGTTACATTCCACAATAACTATGAAACTTATTAAAATAGGATTACAAAGAATATAGATTGCAAATATTTTTAAACGGATTGTCAATAAAATTTTAAAGCTAGCTTGTGCATTGCACATACTTTCATGAAAAATTCTTAAAAATCCATCAACCCCAGTTACTTAAAGTATCAATATAATATTTATAAGATTAGCATTGTGAATTCAAAATTGATGAAAAATAATTATTATACGAACTATTTCTAACTTGCATACTAAAAAGTATCAATTACAATTTGATTATTTATTAGTCACAGAACAACAAATCAGATAGGTATGGAAAAAATCTTCACGGAACATAACATCGTATTAATAATATTATAATCGGAAAGATTGGTTTCCATGTTTGTCGATTTCAAAAATTCTTTCATCTACGTGAAGCTACATCATACGCGGGTAATATAAGCTATAATTTATGTTTTTTATTTATTTATTTTTTTTTTTATGGGATAGGGGGCAGACGAGCAGACGGATCACCTGATGGTAAGTGATTACCGTCGCCCATGGACACCTGCAACACCAGAGGGGCTACAAGCGCGCTGCCGGCCTTGGAGGGAAGGATTGAGGGGTAGAGGGAAGGGAATAGGGGGTTGGGCCTCCGGTACCCTCACTCACACGACGAAACACAACGCAAGCGTTGCTTCACGTCGGTTTTCTGTGAGGCCGTGGTATCACTCCGGTCGAGCCGGCCCATTCATGCCGAAGCGTGAATGAAAAACGCGGATAACAGCTAATTGAATTAACAATATCTAGATAATTTGCACTTAAAAAACATTTAACTTGTACTTAAAAAACATTTGTGTTATATATTCACCTGAAGATGTTCTAGAAATTTATAATAATATTTAAAAATTTACTCATGTTGGAAACTCTCATTATCCAGTTATACAGCCCACCAGACCGTGTTATTTAACAACAGCAATTAATTTCAACAGCAGACTAGAGATCGGCAAAAACAGAAGCCAATTGACTAAACAAAGTGCCTACATCCGTGCGAGTGTTCATTTTTTAATCAATGATTTAAGAGTGCATTGTCATTGACTAATAGACGAAGAGCTCGTGACAAAAATGTGCAAGAGCTTTCTAGGGTTTGTTATTTCAGTATGTTGAAGTACTAAGGGTATATCATCATCATCAGCCCTTTTACGTCCCCACTGCAGGGGCTCAGGCCTTCCTTATGGATGGTTAAGGAAGATGGGCCATGACCCACCACGCTGGCCAATGCGGATTTGAGGGTATTAACGACTGCAAATGCAGCCGGGTACAACGGCTTAACGTGCCTTCCGAAGCAAGTCGAGATAATAATTTTTTGGTCATCCATCCCGTGACCGACTTGCGAAAGTTGCTTAACGACAACGATCCGCGGGCGTTGTCGTTAAGCAACGGGCCGCGGCGCTTATCCACTACGCAACCGAGCTACTCAGTAAGGGTATATAATTCGCATTAAAACCCAGTGCGGAGGCGCTGGAAAACCTGGTGACGGCGCGAAGCAAACTTCTAGCGATAGCTGAATAAGTTATTTTTCATTAAAAATGCTTGTTGCGTTGAAAGAAAGTTTGAGTATTTTATTTATGAACTTCTAATAATTAAGTAATAAATTAACTTTTAACCATTACGAAAGTCTTTTTCGGAACTTATTTTCACAACAACTTATAAGATATGTTGAGTCGGCGCGTCCTACGATTGTGTAATCTGAGTAACTTAGCTAATTTTCAATATTAAGAATAAGTTTTTGGCTAATTTTAAACTATTAAAAAGCCCCTCGAATACCACAGTTCACAGTTCACCGTACCGTCGTCGACACCAGGTGTTCCACCAGGAGGTCAGGCCTCCGCACTTGGTACTGAGTGATGTTATACCATGAGCACCTTAACATAGTGAAATACGATATAAATTTTTAGAAAGTTGTGCACATGTGGAGTGAACTAGTTACTCAAAAAATATAAGTTTACAACAAAGGAAAATGTAGCAATTTCAAAACTTTATCAATAATTTAACACATTTTAAATTCCCGTTATCTTTCATAAATAACATTCCACCGTGTTGTTGAATATATCATTAACGCCATCTATTGAGTAATTCCGGGAACCACAATAAAGCAAGCTCCAGTCTAGTGCTTGTAATCTATATAAGTGAAACAAAGTCGAACAGCTAATTTATGTAAAGTCCTTAAAACTTTAGATGTAACATGTCCTTTGTAATTGCGTGGTATGTCCAAACTGCCACGAATGGCCTAGATACATAAAATAACCTTTGTTTTGAAGGGCTTAACATTGCATGAGGTAAGTACTGTTAGTGTAAAGCGTTTTAAATCTGGGTTTTTAATGCTAGTCCCTCTATAACTTAGTAAACATTATGCTGATTTATAATGAGCTTTTAGTGATTATTGTTAAATTAATAA